CAGGGCGAACCCCGAGCGGCGCACGACGCGCGGCCCCGAGCTCTGCTAGGAGAGCTCCTGCTCGCTGGGCCTGAGCATGAGCGAGCTCCACGCCTGTGGCTCGGCCTCGCCGTCGTCGTCAGCGCCTTCGGCGCCCTGTGACAGCAGCTCGGTAACCTCCCGGTAGATCGGGGACTCCTTGAAGCCGTGGACCTCCAAGCAGATTCCCCACAGGAGGTAGCGGGGGCGAAAGAACTGCGGCCCGGCGCGCGCTTCGTAGTCCCGCTTGTCGTCTGGATGAAACTCGATGGCGCGACGGTGGCCCGCTGCTCCTGCGCGAGCCCCAACTTCGTCTTCATGCGTGCTGGTAGGACGCCGTGGATGCCCCCCTCTTGCGCGTGTTCGGGACGTCCAGGAGGCCCCAGCCCGCGTCTGGATCGCCGTGGATCGCGCTGCACTCGCCTACGACCTGCAGGAAAACGAGGGGCGCGCCGAGACGCCGCGCATCGCGACGAGCGCGCGCGCGCGTTGATCCACCTCGCCAGCGTTTTTCGATAGACGCCCACGCCGTAGCCGAACCGAAAATTCTCGCGCTGTCGCCGAGGGCCCAAAACGCCGTAGCTGTCCGAGGCCAACGTTTCCTTCCAGGCGGACCAGACCCCTGGTTGGAAGGGCCTGCCCTCGGGCGCGCAGCTCAAGAGCGTGATCAGAGGGCCCCCGGGCTCGAAGCGCCCCGTGCCCTTCATCTCGAAGACGCAGGGGACCCGATAGCATACCATGATGGCGTGCTGAACATCCACCGTCGGCGGCCCCGCGTACTTGTGCGACTCGTCGTCCAAGGGCTTGTTCACGTCCGCCAGGGCGCCGATGCTGCCGGCGGGATTCAGCTGCAGGGAATCGCCGAGGTGCAACGCGATGGGGGCGCGCTCGAAGTGGTCACGCGGCCGCTTGTAGGTAGACTCCTGCGCGTCGCGCGCGCCACGCTGCGCCCGCGGCAGGCGCGCGGGTTCAGCTCGTTGCGCAGCGCGGCCGCCGCCGCGCTCACCTCCTCGATGGCAAGAACGCGGACGTGCTCCCGCAATTACTTCTGCCTCTTCTCCACGCCGCCCGGCCTCATCTTCGCATAAATGTATTTTTGGGCTCGCAGGACACAGGCGGAGTGCAGCGCTCTGGCCTTCGCAGTCTCCGCGGAGATGTTCTTCGCCTGCGCGTTCGAGAAAGCCGCGACCATCACGGCGCCCTTGTCTGGCGCCAGCGGGGGCCGCAGATGCTCCACCACCGGGAAGGCGATCTCCTGCACCGCGCGCGTCTTCCCCAAGCCGCCCTGGCCCAGCCGGAGCAAGTGCGTCACTTTTCTCTCGCTCCAAAGCTTCTGCTGGACGTCGTCCTCGCCGGCTTCGCCCCAGGCCTTGGCGAACTTGGCGACCCCCGGCAAAACGTCGACCAGGGCGGCGATGTGCGCACTGGGCGTGGAACACACGCTGCCGTCGAACCTGGCCGCAGCGGGGGCGCCGCCCAGGCCGCCGGCGCTCTCGTCCGCGCCGTCGTCGACGCCCACGGCACCCCCGTCGCGTCTGCCCTGGAGGCGGTGCCTCGCCTCGCGCGTCGCCATCGCCAGCGGTCGGTGCCCGGCCGCGGGCGCAGGAGCGGTCGCCTCCGTCGGCTCGGGCGCGCCCGCGACCTCGCGGGCCGCCTCGGACATGCAAGGGGGCGCGAGGAGGTCCTTGGCCAACTAGGCAAGGCGCTTGCGGCGCGCGAAATGCAGCGCGTCCGCCATGTCCTGCCCCCCGTCGACGCCCCGCGTCGGGACCCGCTGCGCTCGGACCGCCGAGGGAGGCGCACCCAGGTGCTCCACGCCCTCGGCTGCCTCGGCGCCCTCGTCTTGACCGGCGCCTGGACTGGTGGTCGCCTTGAGGTGCGCGCTTTGCGCGGCAGCGTCGCTCTGGTGCTGCGGGGGGTTCTTCTCCTCGCGCGCCAGGGCGATCCCCTCCAGGTTTGGTGCCACCTGCATGGCTATCAGCTATCATAGAGACGCACTGGCGCGCCGTCGCCTTCGGTTTCTCCCTGTCGGGGCAGTGGGCAGGTCTAGCGAGTCGCACTCCGCGTCCGCGCCCTGCGCCCGCGCCTGGTGCAGCGCCCAGGGCTCCTCCTGCACCTCCTGCGTCCCCCAAATCGAAGGCCAGTCGTGCCGCGCCAGGAAAGGAGCCGCGGCGACGCGGGCCTCCTCATCGGCCTGAGCCCGGCAGTGCCCCCAAGCTTGCGTGACGCAAATGGACCCGCGCACAATCTTGTCACGGGGCGCGCGGGGGGCCTCCATCAGGGGTGCAAGCGCCTGCAGCATACGCTCCTCCTCCGCCGTCTCCGCACTCTTCACCCCAAAGGCCGCAGGAGCAACTGCTTGAACAGGCAGGCAGTCTCGCAGTCCTCGTGCATCGTCAGCATGGTGCCTTCGAAGAGGGCGCGCGAAGCTCGGGGGCCGGGCGCGGTTTGTGGGTCGCTTGCTGGGCGTAGTGCGGCGCGAAGTCGAAGTCCAACTGCCCGATTCGGCCGCCGATCGGTTGCAACCAGCGGCCCGGACGCAAAGGCTTCCCCCTGCGACCGACTCGGCCGCGGATGGTCTACCACCCGCGGCCTGGACCCAAGGGTTTCCCCCTGCGCCCGACTGTCGCCGACCGTCGCCGTTGTCCTCTTGGATTCCTGTTCCTCCTCTTCCTCCTCCTCCTCCTCCTCCTCCTCCTCCTCCTCCTCCTCCTCCTCCTCTTCCTCCTCCGCAGAAGGTTCGAGGGAGTGGCCCGTGAGCGCTTGTAGCATGCCAGCTCGAGATTCCAGCTCCCAGGGCTTTGGACTCCGTGGTCCGAGCGCGAGCGCGAATCATTAACAGACGAAGACCCCGCCCAATAATTCTATACGTATCAGGCCTGATGAGCGCAAACGTGCCCCGCTCGGATTCGAACATGGAAGCGGGGACCCCAGAAGGAAGGATTCCCGCTGGAGACGTCCTCGCGTTTCACTCACAGACGAAGCTCCCGCTCGAGACGTCCTATAGATTCAAGCCTGGGGGGCAAACAGTGACGACATTAGCACGTTTCCGACGACCCCGCTCGGAATCGAACGTGGGGGTGGGGGCCCCATGGGGCGGGGGACCTGCCTGAGACCTCCTCGCGTTTTACTCATAGACGAAGCTCCCGCTCGAGACGTCCTCCATATTCAAGCCAGAGGAGCCCAAAAGTGACGACCGTTACAGGTTTCCGATGACACGCCTCGGATTCGTACATGAAGTGCAGGCCCCATGGGGAGGGGGCTCCCGCTTGAGACCTCCTTGCGATTCACTCACAGGCCAGGCTCCCTCTCGAGACTTCCCCCATATTCAAGCCAGAGGAGCCCCAAAGTGACGACCGTTACAGGTTTCCGATGACCCGCCTCGGATTCGAATAGGGAGGTGGGAGCCTCATAGGGAGGGGGCTCCCACTTGAGACCTCGCGCAACTCACTCAGACGAGGCTCTCTCTCGAGGCCAGCCAGGCCTGGAGAACCCAAAAATGACGACAGTTACAGGTTTCCGATGACCCGCCTCGGACTCGAAAATGAAGTTCCCGCTTGAGACTTCCTCGCAAGTCACTTACAGACGAGGCGACCTCTTGGTCGATGACCATGGTAGGATGGTGATGGTGATGACGATGGTGGCGTGCGATTGTGATGGTGACGACCATGATAGCGATGGGCGATGATCATGATGGGGTCCTGCCATGATGACGAGTGAGTGAATAATGAGTGACTGTGTGAATGTGAGTGAGTGAGTGAGCGGGTGATGATGGTGATGGTCGACGGTCATGATGGGATGGTGGTAGTGACGTTGATGGTAATGGATGATGGCGATGATGATGGTGATGGTGATGATGATGGTGAGGATGATGATGAATGCGATGATGATGCTGATGTTGATGCTGCTGATGATGATGAGGATTGTGATGCCGATGATGACAATGATGCTGATACTGTAGCGGGATGACAGATGATATCAGCCAGCGTTGACTCCAAATAGATAGGAGGACAGGAGGAGGACGAGAGGAGGATGGGAGGAGGACGAACGGAGGAGGGGAGCACGACGGGAGGAGGACGGGAGGAACACAATCAAGCAAGCGCAAGCAAGCAAGCAGAAGCAAGCGAGCGCAAGCGAGAAAAAACAAGGAAGCAAGGGCTAGCGATCAAGTGCAAGCAAGCAAGGGCAAGCAAGAGCAAGCAAGGGCAAGCGATCAAGTGCAAGCAAGGGGTGCCATTGGAAATGAGGGGGGCTGCCATTGGAAAAGGAGGGGGGAGGGGGGTGCCGTTGGAAATAAGGGGGGGGGCATTGGAAAAAGGGGGGGCGGGGCTAAAGACTATGTACTTATGATGAGCTAGGACTCCTACAGGGCAAGCCTGTTTGGAGAATGATGGACATAATGATTGTGGTGATGATGGTGATGGTGATGGTGATGGTGATGGTGATGGCGATGGCGATGGCGATGATGATGATGATGATGATGATGATGATGATGATGACGATGACGATGACGATGACGATGACGATGACGATGACGATGACGATGATGATGATGATGATGATGATGCTGATGCTGATGATGATGATGATGATGATGATGATGATGATGATGATGATGATGATGATGATGATGATGATGATGGCGATGGCGATGATGATGGAAGTGATACTGATAATGATGATGCTGCTGATGATGCTGCTGATGCTGCTGCTGATGATTATGATGATGTAGGTGGGTTCCTGTTCCTGCGCGGGGTGTCCAGGGAAGACCCCCACTTAGGATGTGGGGAACGAGCAAAATGCAGTCTCTTGGAGGGCCGTTGTTTACTTCTGCCAGTTTCCGCCGGCGGAGCCGCCCTCCTATCACTCTCGCCGCCTTCTGCCGGCCTTCCGCCAGGGAAGAGACGTCAACCCCTCGACCCATCGAAGGCGAGGCCCTTCCTGGAGCGCCCCGAAGTGAACCCGCCTGCTGAGGCCTCGGCGGTACAGCGCCCGTATGCACTCCGCCCGGATGCACAGCTCCGTGGCGCCGTACAGCACCCCGCTGTAGCCCCGCTGCCGCCACCGCGAGCCGCTCCCGGCGCTGCCGTCCTCAGCGGCCGCGGCGATGAGCAGCTCGGTGGAGCCGGACCTTCCCGGGAGGCCAGAGAGGCACCCGCGGAAGGCGGCGGCGGCGACGACGTCAGGTCCTCCAATCAGCCAGCCCCCACAACAGTCAGTTTGCGAACCCTGGGGGCCCGCTTCGGGCCTGGCAGGACCCTCCGAGCGTTGGATGAAAGGCATGTCCCCCTGGCAAGGGTCGAGAGCGCCAGAGAGGCTCACGTCTCGAGAAGCTCGTGGCGTCGGGGGAGAAGTCGGTGGGGCCTCGTGAGGCCCCGGCCGTGAACACTCCGCGAGCTACGCTCACGTTCTCTTGTGCCGATTCTTGCCAGTGGGCCCCCGAACGGGGGGCTGCGTCGCTAGCAGCAATGGGTTACGAAAACGGCCACCGTCCACGGTACCGTGCATGGACTGCCTCCGGGCGCCGCCGCAACACGGCACGGTGCACAATTTTTCGGCTCCGAGGGCCGAAACAAGTGTGCACCTTCCGTTTCTGGGTAGAGGATCGACGACGCCTCGGAAAACGCAAACGCGGCACACACGAGAGAAGCTCACGCCAGCCCAATCCACCAAGAGAAAACAAGCATTCATCAGATCATCGTGTCGATTGCTTGTACGGTGCAAGTAGCTTTGAAATCGCCCCTCCAGAGCCTGTATCCGGTCTACATCTGGCGAAATGGCTTGTCTGTGTAATCCCAGCGGAAAAGGTCGAGGCAGCTGGGCCCCGCGCGGTGAAGAAACCATCCGTCGGACAAGCGACATGTCATTCTCAAAGAGCAGCCTTCGGGAACTCTGGGTTCAAGGCTTCCACGCGCCCAACTCCATGGTTCCCTCCCCCATGCGCGCGCAAACACAACCACACCTAGCAATGATGAATGAGTCCCCGATGTTCGCTGGATGCAATACTGAATTCTGTGACCGTGCCATCTGGGATTTCACGGTCGTGTTCCCTCTGACAGGCCGGGCCGCCCAAACTCTCGGCCGTCTGGGTTCGAAGTAGAACGTGGCCTCACGTAAACGACCGCGGGAATCCCGAATCCAGAAAACATTGATGTACCTCGTTTTTTTTGGTACCGAAGCCTTTCGACGACCTTCCGACGGCTTTCGCCGGCGGCTTCCGCTGAAGGCGGGACGCGCTGAGGCGAGTCATTTCCTGGAGCGCACCATTTGTTCTGCAAACACTTCACTGGTGCCCGACCACGTGCACTGGGCAAGCTTGGAATCACCTGAAGGCCAACCTGCAATAGGCGAGCCAACACGCGAGACCTTGGACTAAAACGGACGTAGCCGCGGCAGCGTAGCAAGGCTGTCCTGCTCATGCGGCCAAGACACGGAAGCCAGATTCCGTGCCCAAGCGCCGTGAGTCGCAAGGCAAACTCGCACGTCCCAGAGGACTCAAGGGGCAGAAGAGCTTCCTGGAGCGCACCCTATGTGGGGAAATCCTCGATTGCAGGCTCGGCGGCCGTCCGTGCTTCCTGTGTGCCCGCGCCATGGCCCTGGCGCCTGAAGCCTGCACCCTCCCAGAGGATAGAACAGATCAGTTTGGGAAGCAGACCTTCTGCTTCAGTATGCAAAACATGCAGACCTGACGAAACAAACATACAGAAACAAAAAGAACATAGTGGAAATCGACCCTGCATTTTGAAGGTTGCGGCCCTCTGCTTTCCCATTCGCCCCACAACGTGGGCACCGCCGTGCCCCTCCGTGGCCACAAAGCCTGGCAGCAGCCGGCGCCCCCCCCCACCGCCACGCCGGCCCCGAGCGTCCCGAAGACGAGGCGGACGGGCCAGCACATCCACCCAGCGCCCACGTGGTCTCCACCAGGGCTGGACCTAAACAGTGCTTTTCGTTTTCGCTATGTTTTCGTTTTCCCTCGTTTTGTCTTGAACTCGCCTCTGCTGCAAAACGGCCCACGAAATCGCCAAAACACCGTTTAGGTCCGCCCCCGGCCTCCACGGTTCGCGTTCGACCACGCCAGGGTTAGGCCGCAGAGCCTGGGCACCAGGATCAAGCGCCGGCCCCCGGACCCGTCCCGGGGACCCGTCCCGGGGCTTGCTTCGGCCAGAACTTCGAAGGGGATCCAGCCGCGGCGGCGAGGGCGCCCCCGGAGACCCTGCACAGCACCAGGAACGGAGCGCCCCAAAAGTGGGACCCCGGGAGGATCACGGCCAAGGAGGTCCCCGCGCTAGGAGAGCGTCACCTTCCCAGCTGGGCGGGCGGGGGCCCAGATTTCTTTCGCTTGCCCCCGGCCTCAGGGACTCTGAAGGTGTGGGCCTGAACTCGGCCACCAGCACCTGTCGGGAGCTGACAGAGGCAACACCTCCTCGAACGACGGCGACGACGGCTGCGCAGATCGACGCACGACGACGGACAACGACGGCAACGACGAAAAGGACGACAACGACGAGGACGAGGGCGACGACGACGAAGACAAGGACGAGAAGGACGACACACGATGACGGACGACGGCCACAGACGACGACGAAGGCGACGACGACGACGACGACGAGAAGGACGACGAAAAGGACGACGAAAGGACGACGACGACGAAGAGAAGGACGAAAAGGACGACACACGATGGCGGACGACGGCCACAGAAGACGACGACGACGATGACGACGACGACGACGACGAAAAGGACAACGACGACGACAACGACGACGGACGACGACGGACGACGACGACGACGACGACGACGACGACGACGACGACGGACGACGGACGACGGCGGACGACGGCGACGGCGGCGGCGGTGATTCCTCACACGCTCATCTGCTCCCAAAGCACCTGGTCCCTCCGTGGTGTTGACGGGCTGATGGACAGCATACGTGTGTCCAAAGGGGGGATCGTAGTGGTGGGGACCCAGACCTCGGACTCGTTCGTTTTGTCTATCCGTAAGCCGTGGAAGTCTCGGCCTCTTCCATGGGGGCCGTGATTTGTCCTGGATCCAGTTCTTACTACCCTAGGGACTGGATTCGGCCCTCATCGGCTCCCACGAAATCCGAAATCGAGTATCACCCCTGGATGAGAAAATTAATCTGGCGCGAACCCAATTTGGGCAAAGCCGATTGCATGGGCGTTTTGCTGGGCGCATCGCTTGGCATCGCTTGGCGTTGCTTGGCATGGGTTGGCATCGCTTGACCTCGCTTGGCATGGCTTGGTATCGCTTGGCATTGCTGGACATTGCCTGGCATTGCCTGACGTTGCTTGGCAATGCTTGGCCTTGCTTGGCTGGCATTGCTTGACATTGCTTAGCATTGCTTGACGTTGCTTGGCATGGATTGGCATTGCTTGGCATTGCTTGGGGCAACCGGCGGCGGTGAACCCGAGGAACCCGGGTAACCAGAGGAACCCAGGGAACCCGAGGAACCTCCGAGGAACTGGCAACGTGACAATAGGAAGCACCGGGGGCGGGGGCACAGGGGGCGGGGAACCCGAGGAACCTCTGGGCAACGGGCAACGTAAGAATACGAGGCACCAACCTTTAACCAAGTGAGAGCCCCTTAGGCAAGCCTAATTGGGGAAACAATCCGCCAGAGGCCTGGGTTCTGGAGCTCCCTAAGAATACCTGGGAAGCTTCAAAACTCCTTCACCAAAAACACATACCCTCGATCCTCGCTCGATTCTCTCATCCTGCTCTTCCAACTCCTCCTCGTCCCCGTCCTCCTCCTCGTCGATCCTCCTCGTGGCTGCGGTCTCGCGACGTGGCTCGAAACAGCTGGCCGTGTGGGTGTCGACGTATGTGCCGCCCGCGGTCCGCGACTGCCCAGGCAGGTGCCTTCCGCACCTCACCTGTCCTTCGCCTGGTCGGCCCCTCGTTGGCTGCTCACCCTTCCCGCCCCCTCCCTCTCTCGGCTGCTCCCCCCCAGGCGCAGCACGGCCCCCTGTGGGTGGGACCCTGTGCGCCCGCGCGGGGCTGCGTGAATGCCCCGACGCGGCCGTCCCTCTTCGGCGACCGTCTTCGTCGTCGTCGTCGTCGTCGTCGTCGTCGTCGTCGTCGTCGCCGTGATCGTTCGTCGATCGTCGTCGGTCGTGGTCGTCCGCCGCCGCACGCCGCCCGCCGACGGGGCGGTCCTCGACTCTCTTTGCCCGACTCCGCCGCGTCGCTGCGCGCGTGGCCGCGACGCCAACGAGAAATCGACGCGCGTGTGCTGGCCCTCGGCTCCCGGCATCTCCTGCGGCGGGGGGCAGTGGCTTCGAACGGCGCACGGGGCCTCCTTCTGCGTCGCCAGCGCCCTGTTGAGGTCCAGCGTGCAGTAAATGCCCGTTCCTCGGGCGGAAGCTCGGCAACTGCGGAAGCGCCGAGCCTCGGACGGTCCAGCTCTACATCCCTGCCTGCTGCTCCGAACTCTAAAGCCGACCCCGCTTGGGCCTAGAGGTCCTCTGGCTTTCAAAAGCCAAGCAAACGTCAGAAACCTTCACGTGCATCGGCAACGAGACGCCCCTCCACAAGCTCGGAATTGCCGGCCCGAGCTGGTCAAGCCGCCAGCAAATCGAGCAGATTGCGGGTTCCTGGAGGCATACTCGAGCAAATCGAACCGCGGACGGGCCTCTGGCCGAATCGGCATCGCAAGAGCAGACCACCCTCTTCAGGACCAGCACAGGCCGACGTGGGGCTGCACGCTGAACCCGGCCCCTCGAACCCACAGGATCGAAAACCTGCGGAGTGGAGGGTCGACCCCCATCCTGGACTATTTGGTCATCCGTTCTGGGCGTTTCTGCGGTTCCACAACGGGACCTCGAGCCCAGTCGCAGCTGCGCCGGCGCAGCGCCTCGCCCCGTGAGATCGTGAAGCGGGGGAGGGGCGGGCGGGCTGCTGCCGCAGGCCTGCAGTCCGGGCCGGAAGGCAAGAAGCAGCAACTCAGGCAGGCGCGGTCGGCACGGACCAACGCTCCTCACTGCCGTGACACAATCCCACGGGGTTTTGATCTGATGATGGGATCTGCTGTCCCTCTGAAGGTGCCTATCGTGGACATGCGGCTGACGGCATTTGGCGGAGTAGCCTCTGTCGTCTCGAGACGGGATCGGAAATGACCCCGCCGAATCCTTCATGAGAAGGGAATGCAGCACGTCCGCGCGGAGAAAATTCGACTCCGCCCACCCCGCTTACTCCGCCATTCGCCAGTCATCTTGCATCCTGACGAAATACTCTTGTCAATCTCAAGGCAGCCCAAGAGGACCCCTAGACGGCCCAGGACGGCCCAAGAGAGCACCAAGCTGGCCCAAGAGGGCCTCCAGAGGGACCCCAGACAGCCTCAGAGAGCCCTTGGACGGCCCAAAGACGGCCACAGAAGACCCCGAGACTGCCAAGAGGAAACCAAGACGGCCCAGGAGAGCCCCAAGACAGCCCCAAATGGCCCGAGGAATCTCAAAGACTGCCCAACAGGAGCCCAATACATGACGGAAGGAAGGGAGGAAGGCGACGAAGCCGAGAAGAGAACTTACGACACGACAAGGAAGAGTGTGCAGAATGCTTCGGCTCTCCGGAGCCTCGGGACACGAGGTGTCACACGGTACGGCCTCCTGCGCGCCAAAGAGAAACAGTCGCCACCCACGGCGCGTGGCTGGCACGATGGTGGGGACTTGCCGCAGGCAACTGGATGCCACGACATCTGGCGGGCTCATCTTGAACCCGTGGGCCCTAGACTTCTCGAACCTTCGCCGGGGCCTGTCTCTCATCCTGGGTCGTCTCGTGATGATCCGTGGTCCGAGGCACGCCCCTCGCAGGCCGAGGCAGAAGAGAAACGCCGGGATTGAGCAAAAACGATCCGCCGGACCTGGGCAGGAGCTCCTCAGCCGGTCCCCCACAGGCGTGCTGGATCCATCGGGCACGCCCGCCAAAGCCCGGGGCGACACGGAGCGTGGCCCTCTGCCCTGCCTGGGCCACCTGGGCCTCAGCAACGGCCAGCCGAGATCGGGCACGCACGCAGCGGACGACAGATTGACCCCGACGTCAGACGACGAAGGAGCGCGTCTTCTGGAGGTCCTCGCGAATCTCCTGGGTCGGCGCTGGACCAGCCGCCTCCCCGCACCCATTCCCGAAGCCGTCCACGGCGACGGCACGACCGACAGCCGAAGAGACCGACAACGACACCAACTCCGACAGGCCGCAAGCAGCCTTACTAGAAGGGCGCAGCGATGCCGCAACGACACAACGGCCGACCCGACCGAACCGAAGCAGGCCGAACGCAGCCGACCGCGACGCAGCCGAACCGGCTGGACCGTGGACGACCTCGCGGCCCACGACCGCCCTTCCACTGCGCGCGGAGAACGCCGAGGGCGGCGTCGGGGGTGCGGCAAGGGGCGACGGCGGCGGCGACAGCGACATCGACGGCGCAGCCCAACCGACCAGACCGAGGGCACCGGCGCTCCCCCCCCCAAACACACACACACACACTCACACACAAAGCACACACAGAGCACACATAAACACACACACACATGCACACACACACACACACACGCACACACAGACACACACACACACACGCACACACACACACACGCACACACACACACGCACACAGTCCACGGCGCGCGGAGCATGCCAAGGGCGGCGCCGAGGGCCTGGCCAGGGGCGACAGCGGCGGCGACGACAACGATAGCGACAGCGATGAAGCCCCAGACCTCCAACCTCCAGGCCCCGCAGGGTCCTACTGGGCCAGCCGATTCCTGCAGATCCTGAGGATGGAGCTCGTACCTGCGTGCAGGGGGGACGGGGGGAATGTAGGCAGAAGGTGCAAGACGAAGAGCCGCGGCCTGAGTTGGCTACCGATTTCGCTCTGAGAGCGAGCACGCTGCGCATGATCCAGGCAGAACCTCAGATCGTACACAGCATGATGCCCTAACTCCCAGCCATGATTTCACCGCTCGCCGCTCACCGCTCGTACGCCAGGTTCACGTCGTGACGATGTGTGCGCTGGCTTCTGACACCGCGCGGATCGTTAGATTTGAACGATCGCGCCCTCCCCATCGCGCACATCACTTGACCTCGGTCGAGACTGGGCTGCTGGCAGCGCTCGACCTTGAACGCCCGCCCTGGGGTCGCCGCTGCATCGACGCGGCACGAATACGGCACACCACTGCGTGCTCTCCTCACTTTGGAAACCCGCCAAGCCCTCACTGCGGCGGCCTCGGAATTCCCAAAAGCCGTCAGGCAAGTTGTAAGCCCCAAACGCCCGAGACGCCCTCGGAGAACGACCCAGGTCTCAAAACCGTGCGGTCACCACGAATCCTCCTTGCGGTCCATCTCGCTCCCAACTCCTGCTGCTCGTCACCCCTGGATCTCCCCAGAGGATCGGAAGCCGCAGTTTTGGAAGTTGGCCCTTAACTGGAGGAGCAAAAACATACATAATGGATGTCGAACCTCAAACTTTAGATATCTTCGATCCTCTGGGTGGGTCCTATCTGTGGCGCCCAGAGGTCCAGGGCCCTGGGGCTCAACGCCGCCCAAGAGTGTGCTCCGTGTCCGAGGACGTCGAGGCGTGCCTGGCCGTGGCCACGAGGACCCCCGAGAAGCTGGAAGGAGGAAGGCGGAGGCCCAGTCAGAAATGGCACGAGCACAGAGTCTCGGGGGTCCGCGCAGATTCCTCGGGCCCCTCCCCCGGGCGCGCGGCTCGCGCCAGGGGCGGCGCCGAAGGCGCCGCCAGCGGGGGTCCAGCGCCGAGCCAAGACATCCCCTACGGACCTCCGAAAGGTCATGCTCATGTCGTGTCTTCTTCTTATCATGAGTTGTCATAGTTGCTGCTCAGAGTTATTATTATTGTTATCCTTCTTCTTCACATTCGTGTGATCATGGTTCCCCTATGTTGTCCCATTCTTCATACAGCGAGGGAGAGAGAGAGAGAGAGAGAGAGCGACAGAGACAGAGGGAGGGAGGAAGGGAGAGAGAGGGAGAGACACAGAGAAAGACAGACCGTCAGACAGACCGACAGGCAGACAGAGAGAGAGGAGAATGAGGAGAAACATGCGAACGTACCAGAGTAGGTGGAGGAAGGAGAACGAGGTGGACGAATATCCTTAGCGACGACACCTCGGAAACTCGGCGCACCACGGTCACCAGACCGTTGGGGAGCTCCTCGACCAGGACCCTGGACAGCCGTCACTCCTCCTCCTCCTCCTCCTCCTCCTCCTTCTCCTCCTGCTAGTCCTCCTCGTCCGCCTTCTTCTCCCCCCCCCCTCCAAGATGCTGGAGGTCTGGGCACCCGATGGAATCGAACAGCACGACGCAGAAATATGCGCTGAACGCCTCTCGGCTACGCGCAAGAGCGGCCCTGGGCAAGAGTGATTCGGGCTGAGCGAAAAGGGGGGATAGCAGAGGGGGGGGTTAAGAGAGTCAGCTCACGTAGCTGATTTTCCCGGCGCCTCCCGGCGCCGGAGGCGGCCATGCATCGAGGAATGGGCCCCTCAGTGGGGCCGAAACCAGCTGCACGCAGCAGATTTCGTAACCCCCCCTTTCACTATCCCCTCGTTTCGTCCGGCCCGAGTGGTCTCCGGCGCGCGCTGCTTGCCGATCATTGCGTGCGGTGCTGCAGTAGCGGCCTGCGCGATCGGGCGCTACCCCCGGGCCAGCCAGGGCCACGCCGCGGACCCGAGCAGGCCCCGAACTCGGGTCAGCGGAGGGAGGAGGGGAGGGAGGACCCGCTTCGTACGGCTCCCAGACCTGGGCCGGCCAGAGCGGATCGGAGCTGACCCCCATCTCGGGGATGGACAGAACGCCCTTTAGCAAAACGTGGTCTAGCGAAAACGACCTCGGGCCCAAACCTGGCGGGCGCGAGCCTGGAAAATGACGGCCGCGGCGCCCTCTCGAGAACTGAAAACGGACAATTCACTAATCGAAGTGTCAGGGTGGGGGTTCTGCCCACCCCCGACCACCGGCGCTGACCCCCATTGCGCGCGTGCCCCCACGAAAGATCACTCCGGCGAAGGGCCACTCTTGCACGCCGCAGAGCCTCGTCCTGCTCGCACGCCAGCATTGGCCAGCGGGACTCGGGCCAGCCGCGGGGCGGGCCCCCCGCGGGAATCCCTCTGGAGAGCCGCTCGGGCCGAGGCGCCAGCGACAGCGACGACGACGACGATAACGACGACGAGCACGACAAACACGACGACCACGACGCCGCCGACCAACACCACGACCACGACCACGACCAAGAAGACGACGACCACGACCACGACGACAACCACATGACGACGATGACGACAACGACGACGACGACGACGACGACGACGTAGGACGTTGGCGCTGAACGCCTCGTCTTGCTCGCACGCCAATGCTGGTAGGATGGGTCCCGGTGGCCGGGGTGGGCGAGTCATAGAAGCATGGTGCCATGTAGCAACTGCCTCGCCCCCATGGGCGCACACGTTCCAAGCTTTCTCCTCACTCTGCCGCCCCCCTTGCGCGGGAGCACGACTGCGGATGTTTTCTGAGAAGCCTGCGAGTCTGTTCGCTGAGTCTGGGCCCGCTGGCCGATGAATTTGCTCTGGCAGCTCCGTCCCACTGCTGGCCAGCAGCCCGTCTCTTCTGAGACGAGCGCGGCCAGGAAACGAAGCGTGCGTGAAACGTTGCATGTGTACTCCTCATCGTTAGCCTCAGGCTCATCATCCAGACTGCCCCATGCCCAGCCGAGGCCCACTCAAAGAGTGTGCTACTAGCGCATCACATGCCGTGGCTTGTAAGCAGCGCCTCGAAGTCCCGATAAAGACCAGACAGCTCGGGGCCGAATATTTTGCGTGCCTCGTCCAAAGTCTCCTCCCGCGTCTGCTGCTGGTTATTCAGCCGCTTGATGCTCGAGAGGAACAAGTTGAAAGCCTCGTAAGAGAGCTGGCTGCGTGCCTGCCGGAAGAACTGCTTGCCGTCTGGTGCAGAGGGCGGTGGGGCACCCTGCTCAATGCCAAGCCTGGGGACGAGGAAACTCCCGACCAGACCAACAGGACCACTGCCCAAAGCCAAACCCAGACCTCCACCGCGTTGAACCAAAAACTGAGTCTTTCGCTATGCTCGACATTCAGAAACCGCTTTGGGCCACCTAGGACAATCAAACAACGATTCGGGATAAAAAGCTGACCCTGTGGATTTCTGTGGACCCCGCGTTGGGAGAGGGCAAAAGACAAGGACACAAACAGGCAAACAAACAAACGAACAGACACCTACATCGGAGCTACGGCGAGGAGCCGCAGGACCTCTTTGAAAGGGCCCAGGGGCACACAAATGGGTAGACACAAATCCGAGGATTCCCAAGATGTTCCATATTTCCTGGGTGTTCGTCCTCCCCTCCACTGCCCAAAGTTTCAACAATTTCCTGGGAATCGACGACCATTGGCGCCTGTGTTTTTCACTCCGCGGGCCCCTGAGGTCTCGACCCCTTCCCCGAGGGGCATCCTGCCGTCCTGGACCCGTTTCTGGCGGCCCCGGTGCCCGGAACTGACTACCTACCAGACCGACCCAACCCAACCCGAAGGACCAAATTTCGGGTTGGGGGGGGGGGTACGGGTGCCGTATGTGTTTTTTCCATATTCCCGGCGCCCCGCCTACTGGATATGGAAGGCCAATTGGGGCCTTCGGGTTGGGTTGGGGTGGCTTGGTGGGTGGTGAGGAACAGAGGGACAACCCATACAAACAGAGGAAAGTCCGCGCGGATTTCTTGGATTGGTGCCAGGGGCGCCGACAGGGGGGCCCAGAAGGGCACACAACTTCTAACAATCAAGACACACATGGGCTTTCCCAGCTGATATTTCACAACTTGGGCTCCTCAAGTCTCGCCGCATTCCCTAGGACCGACCGGCTTGTCACCCGGAGTCGTTTTTGACCGCCCTAGGGCTGGGAGACGGTCTCCAGAGGCCGAAAACGCAGAAAGACCGGCCGCCTCGATTGTGTTCGAATCGCCGGAACCCTGGGTCTGGACACGCAACGGTCTTGATGCCGCATCGCTCTCAGTCCCGCTGCCGTCCGCCGAGGTTCCTTTGGCCTCCTTCGGCCCCGCCTCGTTTTGCTTCCGCCTGCTTCCACAGGCCTTCCGCCACCTTCCGCGGAGGGCGAGGGTTGCGCCGAAGGCGAGGCCTTCCCAGAGGATTCGAAAACCTTCAAAGTCGAGGTCGGACCTCCGTTTTGGATGACATTTTCCCTTTATTCTAGAAGTTTAGGTTCTTTAAGCATGGACGACTGGATTATGTCGTTGTCATTCCTCTGGTTGTTTTTGGAGCGCCCCATACGTTGGCCAGGCAATGCCAGGGGGGGCCACCACCAGGGAGGTCGCCACCTCCTCGAGGAGGAGGAGGAGGAGGAGAAGGAGGAGGAGGAGGAGGAGGAGGAAGAGGAGGAACGAACTTGCCGAAGAAAAGGAGGAGGAGACGGAGGAAGACCCCCAACTAGCCCACCCAAGCCCTCCCCAAACACCTAAACATTTACCGACAAAAAACGCCTCGGCACACGCCTGGGGCCATGATGCGCTGAGCCATCCCCGCTCTTGGCCCCCCTCTTCGGCCCACCCGACACGCCGGGGAGCCCCACTCAGGCAGTGCTGAGATGGGGTCACTACCAGGAGAGTCGCCAGCTCCTCCTGAGGATCGAGGTTCGAGTCAGAGAGAGCACTGAAAGACCATGAGGGAGGCCACGACTTCTGGAGGATCTCGTGGCCCCGCCCATGAGATCCATAAGCCCTGCTCTTCACCTCACTCTGGTGGCTTTCGAGTCATGACCTGGGCCTCCGGCGGCCGCTCGGGACGATCAGGGCGCACCCGGAACGCTCTGGACGAGGCGCAGCCGGAGAGCACCCTGGGCGAGAACCCCCCCCGAACCGACGCGCAGCTTCCCCCTAAGGGCCAACGAAAAACGTCCCCACCCCTAGTCCTCAACTCTCGGGAAGAGGAGGAGCAGGAGGAGGAGGAGGAGGAGGAGGAGGAGGAGGAAGAGGAAGAGGAGGAGGAGGAGGAGGAGAAGGAGGAGGAGGAGCGTCAGCAGCCTGAGGGCGGGCTCCTGTGACGACGCGGCAGCGGGCCGCGGCGGCGGGAGCCTAGGCCTCAGCGGGCTACTTCATGATGTTGAGGCGGTCGAGGGCGGCCAGGCGCGCGCCCAGGTGGTGCTTGTAGGTGCAATCGTCTACGCCCTGGGTTTTGACCTCGAGGTACGTGTAGTATGAGAGGACGAGGCGCTGGATAGTCATCGACAGCGAGTGCTCCCCGTGCTCAGGATAGTGATGTCCTAGACCCAGGCGTTGAAACGCCGTGGCCTACGAAAAAATACGCGGCAGGCAGACCAGATGCTGGAACCGATCACATTCCAGGTAGTGGGCGATCGCAGCTGGCTGCTGGAGGCAACCGGAACGACACTGATCCGCCTCGGGAGTGACATGCATGCGAGAGCTCGTGTGCCAAACACCTGCAAGAGTCCGCAGAGTGATCCGCCTCCACGAGAGAGCCACCGTCACCAGGAAGCTTTTGAGGATGGACCAACGCAACTTCAAGCCATGTGGAACAGCAGCAGCTCCAAACCAGGCCGTGAGCCGCTTGGCGATGGTGACCTCGAAATCGTCCTTCATCCAGTGGGAGGTCAGGGCTGTGATGAATACTCGCTGCGGCATGGGCTTGGAACCAGCTTCGAGGGCGTCACGTACGGCTCGGTGAGCAATGATCCCAGCGCGAAGCAGATCATGGTGGCGATGAGCTGGAACTTGGGCGGAACGGCCCTGCATCATCTCCTTGAGGCGCTGGACAATCGCCTGCGGCTCCTTCCAGAAAACAGGGGGCCATTTGTTCGTCGCGAACGCGGGAAGTCCGCAAGCAGCTTGGGCGATCTCGAAGAACTCCTGGAACAGGGGCTGCGCAAGGTCGAGGGCGAAATGAGCGGCACGCCATTGAGTACCGAGCGAGTGAGTGAGCAGGGAGCGCGGCGCTATACCAGGCATCCAGTTGTTGAGCGAGTGGACAAGTTTGAAGCGAATGGTGCTGGGAGGCATACGTAGATCTTTGTGAACTGCATGGATCTCCTTTCACCTGAGCTGTGGAGGAAGATCAAAGAACTGCGCCAAGTAGCCGAGGACGGTGGTCGCCGACGTCTGGTAGAGCCTCGCATTGGCGTCCGCGGGAGCTGATGCGCTGCAAATGGCCGCCGCCGTCTGCCGCCACTTGGATCCAGCAGCCGCCCATTGTAGATCGCTGCCCACATCGGGGCCCGCATGCGCCCCGAGATAGAGCCCCTCAGCCGCAATCTCGAAAGTGACCCAGTCGGGAAGGTGGCCGTGGATGACAACGATGGCGTCATCGCGGATCGCGTTGGTGAGCTTCGCCCACAGGGGTATGATGACACATTTCTTGACATTGAGATGTAGATTGCCGAGCACCGCCGCTGGATGGACAAAAAAACTACAGCCAACGGAACCGTGAGAGCGATGCGTTGAAGGTAAAGACCAATACCATCGGCACAGGCACCCGTCTTGGGGATCGCAACATTAACAGCTCTGATGATGACATCCATCGCGATGGCCCAGGTGGCGCCAGACGATGGGCAGCCTTGGGCGACTCCAGATGCCAGGGGGCAAACAACAGTGCATTGGCCATTGAGAATAGTGAAACCCATGGCCCAGTCGCACAGAGCAGCAACCGCCTTGACAAAGCCCATCTCGAACTGGAACTGGTTGAGGGCCTGAAAGAGCCATTGCCTCCCCAGAGAGGGGAGGGCTGCAGCAATGTCGAAGAAGCAGGACAGGCTCATCACGTGTAGCGTCCGCACTCCATCGTGCCATGCGGCTTTCGGCGTCCAGCACCAGGATGTTGTTTCAAAAACTGCATCCGCGAATGAGTCCATGTTGATCATGATGATCATGTACTTCCACATGAGATCTGAGTTGGAGGTTTTGAGAGCTCCCGCGAAGAGCTCGGAGTCGGTGTTCTTCCGAGAGATCGGGCGCAGGTGTCCTGCTTCGCGCGCGCAGCAGAAGTGGTCGGTTTCCTCCTCGCCCTCCGGGCTGGATGAGAAGATCAAATCGGTGAACGCGGGCGGGGCAACGCCGGCCTCGAAGCAGCTCCACGCGACATCTTCCAGCGCTTCCAAAGCCGCATAAGTCTCTGCCCAGGCTCGGCATGGGGAACGACCCGGACCAGGCGCTGACGCACGAGCACGGAGGGCAACGCGGCGCAAAACAGCAGCGGAAGGAATGATGAGCTTCGGCGCGGCGATGTTCGGAGGGGCAAATTGGCCGAGGTAGTCCTTGAGAGCCTGTTCATCAACTTGCTCGTGCGAGAAGATGGGCAGCCAGTGATCCTGTAAAGCTTCCACTTGTGCTGCGGGGGCCGTAACCGTACCTCCTTCGTTCGCCAGACGAATCCCAGTCAAGGCCCTGCTTCGCCTCTGTAGTATGCAGGCTTGCTTGAGTTGATAATCCGTTTCCAGCGTGCGACCTTGTTGCTGCGCTCGCTGTGCCGCAGCGACCTCTTGCTCTTTGCGAAGCCGGAGGTGTTGCAGATGAGCGCGTCGCGAAGCTTCTGAAACTTTAGATTCATCCAGTAAACCAACCCTTCTATCGGCGATGAAAAGGGAGTCCTTGCCAATCTCCGCGGCGCTCGTGAGAGTGCGGGGCCAGGGGGAGATCCTGCCCCCAAATGGCCCGTGAAATGGAGCGATGCGTGAGTGAATGTGCCTCAGCAGCAGATTGGAAGCGCACTGCACGATGGCACGTGGTGAGTTCATTGCGAGTGAGGCGAGCTGCTTCAGTCATGATGTTCTTGAAACCAAGCCAACGTCGCTCCGCCGACGTAAATTGCAGCTGCGAGCGCCGTGGAAGAAGCGAGACATTCTGCTTGTAGCGGGGAACCTGGAAGATGAAGGCGGGGATCGGTTGGATGCCGTTCGTCTTGGGAACAGCAATCGCAATCGTAAGATCAAAGAGCGCATGATCACTAAGTCGACGAGCGCTGAGCACGGCAGGATCCTTGTCAACTTTCAGCGTTAGCGACAGATTCGGGTAAGCATGGTCAGGGAGACTGGCTAAGACGCGGTCAATCCTGGTCTCCTTCATGGCAGGGCATCGAAGCGCGTGAGCTCGCCACTCGAGACCTTGTCATCGACGCCAATGGTTCATCCAGAAGGACTTATGGTGCTGGTCACCCCCAATGCTGGTGAGGATCATTGGCTGCGGGTCCAGGAAAGCCGGCGGGCTCGTCGTGGATGTTCAAGTCGCCGAGGGCAGCGAAATCCGCGATCGCGGAGCAACCTGTGCCCACTGTTGGTGCCCGTGCCAGTCAGACTGGACGGCTCGCCGTTGGTCCTTCGCGAGCTCAAAGTTGTGAATTTCCATGAAGGCAGCAGCGCATGCGCTGCCGTTGTAGATCCCGAGGGCTTGCACATGTCCTGGAACAGGGGTGCGATGGGGAAACATCTTGCGAGCAGGGATTACGGAGACGTGGTGCGGGGCCCCTGGCGAGCTTCCCAATCTGGGCTGGCCAACATCTGGGATCTCTGCCCCTTCGTTATGGATGGCCGCCTCCCCAATCAGCGCAGGCACCGTCCCTTGGTCAGGAGGAGCGCGTGGACCCAGGTGACCCGGGCCGGTGAGGAGGCCGAAGAGGAAGACCTTGAACTGGTAGGCGTAGATAAGGAACGTGAAGCTGTGGAAGGAGCCGATGGTGTAGGAGCGCCAGGAACATGATGCGACTGGCCATCCAGGTCCGCGACGTTGATGTTAGGCAGCTTGGGGAAGAGAAACGCGACGCCTCCCGTCCTCGACAGGCCGCTGCTGGAGTAGAACGTCTCGTAGGAGTAGGGAGTATTCTGCAGGAGCCGCTGAAGGCAAGCTGCATTACCATGAACTTCTTGTACAGCAATGATGTATCCCTGTCGCTGATATGGAAGTTGAAGTTGAAGCTTAGCTTGGCGACGTCGTCGATCAATAGTGAGCAGGCTGCGAGCATTCCACGCGATGATCTTGAGGCCCTGCTTGGAGTGGCCAGTCCGCTGAATGCTACCCCAAGCTATGGCCTTGTCCTCGTCGAAGAAGTCGTTGAAGCGCTTTTCCACGGCGGGGCAGTTGATGCCGCGTTGAGCTGCGAGCTCACGATTCCATTCAATCTTGGTGGGTATAGCTGCGGTGCCAATCTCCAGTCGAGCAAGAGGAACACTGTCAAGGGCGACTCGACCACGCTGTTTGTAGGGCCTGAACGAGAAGTTGGCATAGTCAGATTCAAGAATATTGTGAAGCCGTCGGGCGTGGATATCACGCCGAAGTTGTCGGGCACTGGGGTCGGCATTGACAAAGAGAGGGACACGTTGTCCCAGCACTGATGTACTTGCGAAAGATCTCTATTCTCCCCCACGTAGCTTGAGACCGCGTGCGAGCGCCGTAGCTCTGGGGACGACCACATTCTTGTCGCCGAGAAGCCGTAGGGTGAACCGCTCGGCAGGAACATCGCGAATGAGAGAGGCACAGGACCACTCAACGCCATAATCATGAAACCAGTTTTGAAGGTCATCCCGAAGTTGTTGAGGCGAGACGAGCTCTTGACATCCAATGGAGAATACAGCAGGGTCGGGTTGTCGATCAAGTTCAGCTTCTACGGCCAAGTCGACCACAGGAATGGCGGCTTCCGCAAGGGCAAGTGTCCGATTGATGCTGTCGATGGCTTGTCGATGGCGCTCTTGTTCTCCTTCAGGAGCAGCGATCCTGCGCTTGAGGTCAGCCCCCCCCCCCCCCCTCGGTGGCACCCAAACGCTGGTCCGTTTTCCGCTGGTACTCGTGAGTGGTGGAGATGAGCGTCCGCGCAGTGGCCTTCTTGAAGGTGTCCATGACTGAGTCCACGTGCTGGGTGAGCTGGTCGCACAAGGAGGCGGAGAGCGCCTCGATGGAGCCAGGTGCTGGGGGAGGCGGTGGTGCCGCACCAGGGGCCACATCGGGAGCTGGACCTTTTCCTTGGCCCTTGTTTGCCATGGTTAGAGCCCGTGCACTATTAAGTTCAGCTTGCGGAGATGCAGAGAAGGTAGGCGGTTATCCATTCTCCATGGCGGCCGTGAGAGCTTCACGCTGGAGCTGCCAGGGATCAGCTTGCTGGAGAGGACCGGAGCGAGCGTCACCTGGAACTGCTGCAGGAAATGGTCCCGTGGCACCGCCAAGTACGTGAGCAGATCCACCTTCAGCTCTGCCAGACCGAGCGGCTGCAGCACGTTCTCCTTCGTGTTGAAAGCGGTTAGATTCTTTGTCACGGAGCCGGCCACCTGCTTCACCCCGAGGCTTGTCGTTGTGCTTGGGGCGACGACGGGGAGGACGTTCTCCAGCACTGCGTGAGGCACTGCGATCTCCTGCCGATGGAGCGGAATCAGAGAGGGCGTCCGTGAGAGCGTGCCGTTCGGGCCCCCGCGGATGTGCCATTCGAGGAGGTCCGAGCTGCACAACGAGAGGGCCTGAATCGTCAGGAACTGCTCGAGGATGCAAGAGAAGATGAAAATGCTGCTAAGAGCGAAGGATATGACGGGGTGCCAGCTCACCCGTGAGTGTGGCTGGAAAGTCGAATGGGCTGGCCGCGGACTAGCGGTGTCCATTTCCTGCTTGCGCAAGGCAGACATATTGAGCCAAAATGGCTACGGAGGAGGAGGAGGAAGAGGAGGAGGAGCGGGAGAACCCCCCCCGCGAAAATGCTCCCTAAAGGCCCACGAAAGCGTCCCCACCCCCTGTCCTCAGCTCTCCCATTCCGTGCGGGTCGGGAGCCTCTGGCTGCCGTCCAGGGCGGCCACGGAGTCGTGGCCCCCGAGCGCCGCCGGGGCGCGGCCGCGGGGGGGCGCGGCGGCGCCGCCGAAGCCGCACTCCGCGGAGGTGATCGGCGTGGCGTTCCTGCGGCGGCGCGCGGGAGGGGGCTGCTCCTGGTCCTGATCCTAGCCCTCCTCCCTCCCTGCTCCTCCAATCTCCTCCTCCTCCTCCTCGTCCTCCTCCTCGTCCTCGTCGTCCTCCTCCTCCTCCCCCTCCTCCTCCTCCTCGGCAGCGGCTGCGCTGATTACATGGCCCGGAAAGGAGCGAGCCATGCAGCTGCACACATTGAGGTTGAACGACGAAACCTGGCTGTGCTAGACCATCTGAGTTCCAAGGTCCTTTGACGAATCGCTGTAGTACGTCAGCGATGCTGCTCCTCAGACCGCGAGCGGCTTGATTTGATGCCTGTCCGTGCCTGGTCAGGCACGCTGACCGACTTAATTCAAACATCGGCGCATGAATTAGAAAGGGATAACGTGGCATGGTGAAAAGTGCTGCGGCTCCCCAGGTCAGTTCTCGCTCAACGACTGGCTGTCAGCAACCCCTTGTGCAGGGCGCCTCCCTCCTTAAGAGAGCGGTGGCATGACCGGGAAAGTGGATCCCACCCAAGTCCCAATAGCTCGTCGCACTTCTCGTGCTACCCACTGTGCCGGTACACTGCACGATCTGATTTGTCGCTGGCGATGCGGCCACACAGGAGTGCATACAGTCGGACTTGATTGGACAAAACACCCGAGAGGACACAAGACTCTTACGACGGCGACGTGGCCCCAGAACACCAAAGGACATGCGGGTTGCATAGGTCGAAATAGTCAGGACACAAGGGTACCCTCGATTTGGCATGGTCGACCTACCAATCAGGGCCGACTGTGCAGCAATAAGAGCACGCATGGTTCTCCTTGCCACCGTCTGCGATGGGCGTTGCACGCCATCTGGGCGCAGTATTTTGAACAACAGCTGCGCCGCGGCCTCCTTCAAGAGCGGGGGAGAACTGCTCCGACGGCAAGCCTGGGGGACATGTAAAAAAACGCTCGGCGGTAGACGTGGCAGGTTCTGACCTCCTGGTGTGGGGCACTGCTGGTTGCAGCGGTTTGACCGTGCTGGTGGGAAGTACAGGCGCCCGAATTTAGTGCAACATTGTGGTTCGTGCATTCAATCAAAAAAGACTGTCCTCAAACAGTCCTCGTCTTCCTCCTTCTCCCCCCCTCCTCCTCCTCCTCCTCCTCCTCCTCCTCCTCCTCCTCCTCCTTCTCCTCCTCCTCCTCCTCCTCCTCCTCCACCCCGAAGTCCTCCTCTTCGACCTTGCCCGACTCCTCATCCTCCTCCTTCTCCTCCGTCTCGTCATCCTGCTCCTCCTGCTCCTCCTGCTCCTCCTCCTCCTGCTTCTCCTAATCCTTCCCCTTCCTTCCCCTCTCTCCTCCTCCTCCTCCTCCTCCTCCTCCCTGCTCATCTTCATTATCCTGCTCCCGCGGCTGCTGCTGCTGCTGCTGCTGCTCCTCCCTCCTCCTCCTCCTCCTCGTCCTCCTCCTCCTCCTCCTCCTCATCATTATCAGCATCATCATCCTCATCCACATCCTCATCCTCTTCATCCTCCTCATCATCAGCAGCATCGGCATCATGACCATGATCATCATCGTCAGCAGCATCATCATTAGCATCATCACCATCATCATCATCATCAGCAGCATCATCATCACAATCATCATGATCGTCATCATCATCACTATCATCACCATCGTCTTCACCATCATCATTACCATCACAATCACAATCACCACCAGTATCGTCTTCACCAACATCATCGACATCGTCATCCTAATCATCATCATCAGCAGCATCATCGTCATAATCGTCAGCATCATCGTCTTCATCATCAACAACAAAAGCATCATCCTGATCATCGTTATCGTCATCATCAGCAGCACAATCACCATGATCATCATCGACACCATCGCCACCACCACCACCATCACCATCACCATCACCATCACCATCATCATCATCATCATCATCATCATCATCATCATCATCATCATCATCATCATCATCATCATCATCATTATCATCATCACCATCTTCATCCTCATCCTCCTCATCATCATCGGCATCATCATCATCATCCTCTCCTCCGCCAACGGCGTGACGTCCCTTCTGCTGCGGCTCCTCCTCCTCCTCCTCTTCCTCGTACTCTTGCTCTTGCTCCTCCTCCTTCTCGTCCTCCTGCTCCTCCTGCTCCTCCTCCTCCTCCTCTTAAGCTTTGTCTCCCGACAGACCCTCGAGGATCGACGGGGGAGGTTTCTGGAAGTTTGCGGGGGGGGGGTCTGAACGTCTCTGGCCAGGTCGTCTGGGGTCAGGAACCGGGGCATCAGCAAAACTTACGAGCTCTTCCTCCTCATCCGCCTCCACGACCTCATCTTCCTCCTCCGCCTCAAAACCTCAAGGAACCTCCAGAATAAGCGAAACCATTTCCCAGGATGGTGGGAAGAAACAATCACATTAAGGTCCAACATTCAGATCGAAGGAGTGGGGAGCTCTTCTTCCTCATCTTCCTCATGTTTCTCATCCCAGCCTCCTCCTCAGAAGGTTGATCGTTTTGGGTCAGTGTTGGCCCTGCGGAGGCCTCCCAGAACCTTTTCCTTTTCCTCCTCTTCCTCCTCCTCCTCATCCTGATCCTGACCATCATCATGATCATGATGATGATGACCATCATCATCATCATCATCATCATCATCATCATCATCATCATCATCATCATCATCATCATCATCGTCATCATCATAATCATCAGCATCATCATTATCACCATCATCAACATCATCTTCAGAACCATCATCATCAGCATAATCATCATCATCATCAGCAGCATCGTCGTCATAAGCATCAGCATCATCATAATCATCACCATCATAATCATCATCTTCAGCATCATCAGCATCATCATGATAATGATTAGTATCATCATCATTCTCACCAGCAACATTATCATCATAATCCTCATCATCATGATCTGATCATCACCATCATCATCATTATCATCATCATCGCCCTTCTCCTTCGCAGTGGGATGCGTCCGAAGATAATGATACTGAAGGTTGTTGGCTCTGTGCGTGCTTCCCGAGGCCTATGGTGACCTCTTCCTCCTTTTCATCCTTGATGTTTTTGCCAGAGGGTTCGATGTGTTGTATGTGTTGGGCCTCGGTTGGGTCTCTGTAGGTTTCTTGAGATCTCTTCCTCATCATCATCATCAGCATCATCATCAGCATCATCATCATAATCGTGATCAGCATCATCATCATGATAATGATCATGGTCATGCTCATCGCCGTTACCATCATCATCCTTATCTTCACACTCAGCATCATCATAAAGTCGTTATCAGCATCATCATCACGATCACACTCATAATCACCGTCATCAACATGATGACGGTCGCAATCATCAACATCAGCAGAAGCAGCAGGGTCACCATCATCGTTATCATCACCATCATCATGATAATCGTCAGCACCATCAACATGACCATCACCATCACCATCATCATCACCATCATTATTAATCGTACTAATAATAATAATCATCATCATCATCATCATCATCATGGTCATGATCATCTGATCATGGTCATCGTCACAATCAGCAACAGCATCTCAATCACCATCAGCATCATCATCATCGCCATCATCATTATCATCATTATCGTCGTCATCATCACCATCGTCATCATCATCAGCAGTATCTGCATCAGCATCAACATCATCATCAAGATAATCATCATCACCATCATCACCATCATCACCATGATCATCATCATCATCATCATCATCATCATCATCATCATCATCATCATCATCATCGTCCTCCTCGTCGCCGCGTCTGGACACGACTCGGAAAATGGGCCAGGACGACACCAGGAGGGGTCTGGTGGATGGTTTTGCGCGGACGTTGGTCAGGGGTGGGGGCGAGGGGGACGGGTTCCCGAGAACCCAGAGGGTCGATCGAAGACATTCAAAATTGACGTCAAACCTCCACGCTGGATGCGATTTCCATTTTTCCAAGAGACTTCTTCCAAAAATTATGTTCGATCTCGGACATCGAAGATCTCGGTCTTCCGGGAGGAAAGCACGGGTCTTCTCACAGGGGACCAGAAGCTTCTGAAGAGGATTCTTGGAAGGCGGGAGGGCATCAAGGAAGCACCCCGGTCTTTTCAGATCCCCCCCCCACGAGGATCGAAAGCATCCGTTTCGGAAGCAGAAGCTCTCTCTGGACAGAGGAAACCTTCCAGAATGCAAGAACAAATGCTCCAGAATGGAAGGCGGACCCCCACTTTGCAGGATTTCGACCCTCGGGCCCTCGCACAACCCTCTTCTGCGCGCGGCCGAGCTCCTCAAGTACTCGTCGCTCATTAGGTGCGAGGTCTCCCCGAGCTGCGCTGCGTCCGTGTTGTCGTTCTGGATGGACTGCAGGACCTGCTTCCTGAGCGCGTCCAGCCTCGTTATCTGCTTGTCGAGCGTGTCCACGGTCTTCCTCAGCTCCTTGTTCTCCTGAGGAGAAACGTTAATGGGGGACCGGCTCAGGGGAGGAAACAGTGGGCTATCGGGCCCGTATCGGCGATGAATGGGCGGTTGGGGGTCGATGCATCCCCCCCTGAGCGATTCCCCGCCTGCGTTGCCCCTGTTCTCCTCCGCAAGCTGCTGGTGGCGCTGGCGGCTCTCCACGAGCTCCACCTCGAGGGTGGAGCTCCTCTTCTGCAGAGATCCGACGTTGGCACGCTGCTCGTCGCACCTCACTTGCAGCCCCCTTATCTCCTCCAGAGGCCAGAAAGAGGGGGGAAATACGGTCATCGTGCTGCCGTGAGGAATACAGAAGACCTTAGCTGCCCCGATACGCAACACGCAAAAGGTAGCGTATTGATACGGAGCTCAACACGTAGACTGAACACGTACGTTTTGAACACGGACGTTTTGAACACGGCACGTGTTACGTTTCAAAACGTGCGTATCAAAGCAGCTAAGCAGAAGACGGAACGAGGGGGCTTTTCACGGTGAGCCTCGGCCACGAACAAGCTCCTCGACCTACATCTACGGAACGGTCCGCAGACCATCGCCCCTCCACAGCCCCAAGGATTCTTATTTCAGAACTCCGATCTTATTGCCCATGGAGAAGAGACGCCACGCAGTGTGCCGCATTCTTCCCACGACTGCAGCACACGCTGCGAGCGCCGCACGACAGCTGCACACGCGAGGATGAGCACAACACCCGACCAAAGGGAACTCGCAGAAATAAATCGAAAGAATCGTGACTAATAGGCCCAATCAGTGCGAGCATAGGCCACAGTTGTGAAGTACGGCTCTTATGTGCAAGCAATGCTTGGAGGATTCGCCACGTTGACGTGTTTGACTCCTCGTAGGTCGGTATGCCACAAGAGGGACCAGCTGAGGCCGCCCCGATCAAAAACCACTCAGACCGAACACTTCCGAATGACTTTCTAGGAACTCCCCGAACGAACCCAACTGCTTTGCCTGCTACCGTGAACTTGGTACACTTGTGCATGACTGTGACCTGTTGGGCATTCAAGGTTTCATGAATTCTTCGTCGGCAACCAATCGCACCACATCATCGAACATCGCACCTTTGAATCAATGTCCAACGTGACACTGGTCTCGCCCCCCAGGATTATTTGAAAAAGATCCGAGAGAAGGTCAAAACAGCTGCAAGATGACCCACGACCAGCCAAACGGCCTGGAGTCCCATCAGAAGCCCCGAGACGCCTCCTGGACGCCCCCCTAACTATCCGCGAAACTTCATCAAGAGGCCCTCAAGGTGCCATCCTGCAAGGCCCTGAAGGCCCGAAACAGCGCACAACAATACATTGAAAAACGCCGCACGTTTGTACTGGTTCTGGCTTCCTGAAATCTTCGGCGTCAGGTCGCCATGTGAAGGCTTCAGAGAGCAAGATGTTGTTGCCACGAGCAGTGGGGTATGGCTGCACGTCATTGTGCAGCCAGATGTCACTGCCTGGCTTCCCCCACTACCTCGCTTCCCAAACAAAGGCGTACTCGCACTGCGGTGGAGCGTGAATATCGTGAACTTCTGGCTGATCCCGAGGTCGCATCCAGGTGACGACGAGGTGGGTAGTGGAAAGCCTATGGAATTGGAGATTGCTCGAACTCCCTGGGTGTCGGGCCGGCTAGGCTACGGTAGGGTAACGAACGGTGGAGTATGTTAGGGCAAATTTGAGTAGAGCATACTGGAGAACAGTCAAAACTGATAGCAAGCGCGATTAGGATACAAGGCCCTTGGAAGGCCACGTCGAAGCTTTTCAAGCGGGGCTGGCCATCGAAAGGGCTTAAGGACGGACCGAGGAGGCAAGGATGCAAGGGTACCCTTGGGAAGGTTATCCATCCCCATCATCGGTTTCGACTGTAGAATAAGACGTGAGACTGTTTTGTTACCATGAGTTGAACTATTCCAACAACAATATAAAAGGGCAGAACCAGGTGGGGTGGCAAGTCCCCCCTTTGAGCGCCCATCCTTGTGCCAGAAGAGGAAGACAAGGCATACGCAGAAACTTTCGGAGGTCCGCACGAATTCCTTGGGTCGGCGCTGGACCCCCTCGCAAAGAGCGCCAAGGGCGGCGCCAGCGTCGCCACCAGCGGGGGGGGGGGGGGCCGTCGCCGACCCACCCGGAGAACCGACCGCCTTCGCAATGGAGGTCGGACCTCCGTTTGGACAAGGAAAAAACTGTCAGAATGAGGGTCGGATCTCCATCTTTGAGGTTCTCGATCTTCTGGGCATGCACTCCGCGCGGACGCCCATGAGGCTTTCATTATGCCGTTCCCTGTTCGTCGAAGGACGGCGGCTCCTCCCCATTCCATCGTCGTCCTCGTCCTCGTCCCCACCTTCCTCGTCGTTCTCCTTATCGTCATCGTCGTCCTCCTCCTCCTCATTCCATCGTCGTCCTCCTCCTCCTCGTTCTCCTCCTCGTCCCTCCCTCCTCCTCCTCCTCCTCCTCCTCCTCTTCCTCCTCCTCCTCCTCCTCCTCCCCAGACAGCCAACAGGAATTTTCTCGCCATTCCTGGCCTCCTGACGCCGTTACCGAGCCCCAGGACCGTCAAAGAAAGACTCAGAGTGGAAAGCCAGCATCGGTGAAGGGGTCGGGTCCTTCTGGGCCACTTGACACAAAGCATGAGGACGTAGGATATTTGGGTCCTCCTCCTCCTCCTCCTCTTCATTATTCTCCCTGTTTCTTTTGGTCAAGGTTTTCTCGTCGGAAAGGGAGGGGGGCGCTCCTGCTGGAGCGTCTGCGTCTTGCCCTGGTAGGCGTTTGTGATGATCCGGATGCCTAAGTTCATCTGGTCCTCGTGGTCGTGGGGCAGCGTCCCCTCGCCCCCTTCGCGGTGGGCCCGGAAACCATTGCCCAATCGGGGAGGGGGGGGGGGACGACAACGACGGCGAAGAAGACGACGGCGACGGCGGCGGCGACGAGGCAGACGACAAGGCCGACGACGAGGCCGACGGCGGCGCGCGACGGCGCGCGCCAGCGGGCAGCGCGCTCGATGCCGCGATGGGCAGCGCGGCACCGCGGGCGGGCACGCTCGGAGCGAGCTTCCCTGCGACAGCGCTGGCCCCCATCAGGCAGGCGCTGCTGTCGGATTTCTGCTTTCCCCCAGGCAGCGCTTGCAACGTGGAGCTCCTACGGTGGAGTTTTTTTTTTTTTTTTTATCTGTGTAGGCGCCGTGCGAGCACGGCGGATTCATGCACGCATTCAAGAGGGGGCGGCAGGGCAGGCGGAGGGCCGCGAGAGCGCTTACAGCCGCCCGCCGAGCCCTCACCAGCCCTCGGCAAGCCCCGCCGCGCGGCCTGCGCGGGACGCCGCTGCCCTCGCGGCTCTCCCGCGCTCGCGGGCCGCCGCAGCGTCCGCGAAGCCGTGTGCGCGGAGGACGCCCTCGAGCCCTGGGCGGAACCGCCGCGGCTCGGCGTCCTCCGCCCGCGGGGCCGCCGCGGCCAGGCGCTGGGGCGCCGCGGCGCTCGGCAGCGCAGCAACCTGGCTCCCAGCGCCAGCCGCAGGTGGCGGGGGCGGGGCGGCAGCAGGCTGCCGCTGCGCTGGCACGGGCGCCGCCTCAAGCGCCTGCTCCTCCGCGCCGTGGCCCTGCCTGGCCAGGAGCGCCGCCGCCCAGCGCAGGCGCGTGCTCTCCATTGGCGAGGCCAGCGGCGCGATCGGATCCTTCGACGCTGGCAGGATGCCACGTGCGAAGTCCGACCGCGCCTGTGCCCTCGAGCCCTTCTTGCTCTTGGGCTGCCCAGCCGCCGCGCTGGCCCCGCACGGCTCGCCCAGGCCGCGGTGCGCGTGCCTGGGGAGGCGGCAGTACATCCAGCAAGCCGCGCAGACCAGGAAGGGCTCGGAGTCGTCGCCCTCGACGCGCGACTCCATTAGGAGGTGGCCGTTGACCCTCCATCCCGCTGGGCGGGCCGCATCTGCCGCCTCCGCAGGGGCTGGGCCGCTGCCCGCCGCCGCTGCCGCCGCCAGGCGCGGGCTGGGCGCGGGCGCCGGGGCCTCGCGGCGCCTCGGCTGCTCCTGCGCCCTGCGCTGGGCCACTCGGCGCAGCACCTCCGCGGGCGTCTCGGCCGAGGCTGGGCGGCGCCTCGCGGGCGAAGGCCTCGAGCTGGAGGCGCCAGCTGCCGCCGCCGCTGCCAGGGCCGCCGCCGTGGCGAGGCGGGGGCCGCCGTCAGCCGCTGAGGCCTGCACCTCGCCATCGTCAGCCGCGCGCACCTCCGCGTCGTGCATCATCCCGAACTCGCCGCGCCCCTGGGACTGCGACTTCGGTGGGCTGAATCCACCTGTCCCAGGGGCGGGCTCCGCCGCGGCGGTGTACAAATAGTCGGCCTCGCCGTCGATCTCCGCCGCCATGTAGGGGGTGAGGTCGACCAGCTCCAGCGAGCTGATGGGCCAGGAGTCCCGCATGCCCGACTCCGCGGCCTGGACCTCGAACTCGGCGGCGTAGCGTGCCGCGTCACGGGCTCGGGCCAGGCAGCCCTGGAGCAGGAGGGCCTCCTCGTCGGCGATGGCGTGCAGCGCCGCGCCCGCCTTCGCGAGCTGGTCCGCGAGGCGGTTGCCGTAGAGCTCCACCTCCGTGAGTTCGCCCCGCTCGACGGCCGCCCGCGAACGGTGGGCGGGGATGTGCTTCACGCGCACCCCCTCGGCGGCGTCGCCGACCCTCGCCCAGAGGTGGGCGAACTGGGCCGTCGGGCCCGCCGCCCTCTTCACGTCCTTGCAGGCCCTGACCGTGCCGAGGCAGTCGATCATGAGGTGGTAGTGGCCGACGATGTCCGTGAGGGCGACCACCGCCGCGTAGTCCTCGCCTGCCCTCGCCGTCTGGCTGGGCACAAGGGCAGGCGGCACCGCCCCCCACGCCTGCGCCATCCACTCGCCGTCGGGCGTGAGCACCACCACCGACCAGCCCGCGCTCCTGATCATCGGGAAGTCGTTGTTGACGCAGGAGCCGTCCGTGAAGACGAGGGTGCCCGCGGGCACCACGAGCGCGCCCTCGTCCCAGCCGCGCGAGCGGCGCTCCCAGCCAGGGTCCCAGCGCGGCCTCTGCACCAGGTACTGGGCGTCAACGAAGAGGCCCTGGCAGAAGAGCTCCTCGTAGCGGTGGCCCATCGTGCTCACCAACTCGGCAGCTCGCTTCAAGTCGGCGGGCCTGCGATCTCGCCGCCAGCCCTCCCAGGCAGGGCACCTGTGGTGGCGGTGGGCCAGGGTCCCGCTCTCCTCGCCACAGAGCAGGCAGCGGTCGTCGATGTCGGTGCCGCGCTTGGCCAGCCTGGCCTGCGGCCAGAGTGACAGAGTCGCCAGCCTGCGCAGGCAACCGCAGTGGTGGCTGGACCACGTCTCCGTGGGCGCGGCGCCGAGGAGCTGGTTGATGGCCCGCCAGTTTGGCGGCAGCTGCCACGGCCACAGGGTCTGAGGCCTGGCGTCGTACTCCTGGAAAGCTGCCGCCTTCCTGGCCGCCTCTTTGGCCTTCTCCGCAAAGAAGGCGGGGGAGTACCGCAGGACGGAGTAGCAGCAGCCGAACTCGTCCTGCAGGAAGTCGCCGTCGTCGCTGAGGCCCCAGCCGATGACCTGCAGCGTGAGCACCAAGGCCGAGATCGGGTCCCTGACGGCAACCCAAGGGCGCTGGAGCCTCGCGATCCTGGCGCTCTCCGCGATGCAGGCCTGGATCGCCGCCGCGGAGGCCTGGCCTGCCCAACGGACGTTGGTGTAGGCGAGGACGGCCAAGCCCGTGGCCACCACTAGCGGGTCCTGGCGCCAGCCGCGCGGCGAGCACTGCAGCAGGAAGCCCAGCGCAGCCCCAGGAGCCAGTTTGCCCATCGCCTTGGCCGCTGCCAGCCTCAGGGCTCTCATGCGGCCAGGCGGGATGCCGTTGCAGGCCGAGCCCCATAGGGCTTTGGCAGAGGGGCCCGCGCGCAAGACCCTCGCCTGCCGAAGGCCAGGCCCGAAGATCTTGTGGAGCCTGCTGGCCTGCCGCAGCGCCGCGAGCTCCCTGCCGACCTGAGTCGCAACTCGCCTGTGGCTGCCAGCCGTGGCGTCGACGCCGAGGTCGCGGTGGCCCGAGACGAAGGCCTCCGCCGCGAGCTGCCAGTCGGGTTCCTGCTGCAGGCGGCGCTGGAGGCCCACCGTGGAGGCCAAGACCTTCGTCTTCGTCCAGTTGATGGGCAGCCGCCTGTCCGCCAACATCTTGACCACGCCGCTGACGAAGCTTGTGATCGTACGGCTGAGCGTCGCCGCCGACCCGATGCCGTGGCCTGCTATGTCGTCGATGACGTTGACGACCCTGCCGACGGGCAGCAGCGCCCTGGCCTGGAGCAGGAGGCCGTGCAGCATGAGCCTGGCCAGCGCCGTCGCGCAGGAGCAGCCCGCGATGATGGTGCCGCTGACCTCAATGGGCTCGCTGATGGCGGCGTCCGCCGAGGCTCGGCGTGGCCCAGCGTAGACTACGCAGAGGGCCCTGAGTAGGCCGACGCTGAAGCCGCTGCCCTCCGCGGCCTGGCGCAGAAGGTCGTGGTCGATCCGCTCGTAGAACTTGCTGATGTCGAAGTAGACGGAGGCTGCCTCGAACCCGAGCTGGCGGGCGAGCGCGAGCCCCAGGTTGTGGAGGTAGGCCGCCCTGTCACAGCTGGTGTTCATTTCCTTGCCCCAGACCTCGGGGAGCGGGTGGTCCGCCTCCCACTTGGCGCAGTAGCGGCGGCGCACCCTGCTCCAGATGCGCATCCACATGCTCATGAGGCCGATCGGGCGGCGGCCTCCGTCTGGCTTCCCCAGGAAGACAATCACCGTGGTGAAGAGGGCTGTGGGCTGCGGCTGCTGCTCCCAAGCCGTGAGCACCTCTGCCATCCTCTCGGCGAAGGGCCTGCCCAGGGAGAGGACCAGCCGCGGGTGGAACGCATCCCAGCCCAGAGCGGTCTGCTTCGGGAACGACTTCGCCGCCTCGAGGATGTCGTCCGCCGTGATCGGGGGCAACTCCATGGAGCAGATCCAGTCGGCTGGTCTGGTCTTGTGCTGCCCGTCGGCTCCTTTCCATCGGGCCTTCCACTCTATGAGGATCTGGTCCAGGGCTTGCTGGCCAACAACAGGGAGCGGCAGGCTGTCGGGGCAGTGCGCGATGACCGAGTCTAGCACCTGGTCTCGGTCCTTTATGACAGCGTGGGCTCCTTTCGCCCCCTTCGCCAAGGCCTGGTCCACGAAGTCCTTCCAGCGCTGCCTGGCCGCCTTGGCGTCTTCTTTGCAGTGTCTCGCCGTCGTGCTGTCGATCACCTGCAGGAAGGCCTGCCCTTGCTCAGTGGGCTCCTGGATCACTTCGATCAGCGAGTCAAGCTTCGTGCCTTCGAACATGGTGCAGCCCGCCTGCTCGAACTTGGGCCCCAAGCTCTTGGCCACCTGCACCAGGTGCTTCATGTAGCCCACGTGCCCCACAGGGGATGAACAGACCGCAGCAGCCGCACTTAGCTGCCTGGCGATCCTCCCGAGGCAGAGCCAGCACTTGGTGAGGGGGCTGAGCTTCCTGACAGCCTCCGTGCGCTGCAGGTCCGCCAGTTTCTTCCTGACGGTGCGGGGTCCTTTGGCCCTGCCCTGGTACCTCTCACCCTCGGAGATGCCGAACTGGTCGATCAGGTGGAGCTCCGCGGCCTCGAAGAACTCCTTGATCGCCGCGTCGGGCGTGCCGTCGCTGTCGGTGAGGGGGGCTGACCAGCTGATCTGGGTCGCCGCCTGCAGGGATTTCTCGCGCTGCTCAGCCGAGACCTCCGAGCCCACGTCAAAGAACCTGGGGGTCTTGAGGACCCAGATCATGGCGTTGCTGCCCAGCTCGCTGAAAGTGAGCCGCACTGGCGCGTGCGGGTGCAGGGTTGTGGGCTTGATGACCTCCACCTTCGGGCTGAGGCCAGCGAGCGCCGTGGAGACCACGAAGAAGTCGTAGATCTGGTCGCCGCAGGTGAAGGTCGCGGGCGCTACCACCACTCCGCCCACAGCCCGTGGCCACCAAGAGGCGGCGAGGACGCTGGGGTCCATATTCCAGTCGGCCCCCACTATGAACGGCTCGTGGAGGCTGAGCAGGAACTCCTGGAGGTCCGACAACAGCTCCAGGTTGTGGCCTGCCATCCTGGTCGAGTGCACGAGGTAGGCGCTGACCACTGTGACCACGAGATCGCCAAAGGCCACCCGTCGGGCCAGGATGCGGGCACTGTGCTGGTGCCAGTCGTGGTCGATCGCCGCCACGCCCCTGGTCGTTGACGCCAGCACCCCGACTCCCGCCGAGACCGCCTGCGCCGCCTGCCCCGTGCAGTGGACGCTGCCGAAGGCGGCGCTGAAGCCGTTGCGCCTGGCCCAGCTGCAGGCGTCAGTCACCTTCTGGCTGGAGGTGAAGCGCGTCTCCTGCACCAGGATGACGTCGTCGCCTCCTCCATCGTCCTGGATCCGCTCCAGCTCCACCTGCGTCGATGACCAAGTAGAGCCGTTCAGCGTGACGAAGCTGGCTCGCTTCGCTCCCACAGGCCTGATCAGCTTGGCCAGCTGAAGGGGCTTGGCCTGCGGTCGCCCAGGCTGGGGCTGGGCCGCAGGCTTCGCGGCTGCCGCGGCGGCCGCGCGGCCGCAAGGCGGGCGGCTGCTCGCCGCCTTGGGGCTCCGAACCTCAGGGGGTCTCACGCCCTCGCCCGTAGCCTCGTCAACTTGAATTGGGTACCCACGATTCCTCATGGGCCCCTGGCTGGGCTGAGGACTGCCAGTCCTTCGGTCGGGCCCAGCCAAGTCCGCCGCAGCGCTTGGCTCTGTCCTGCTGCTGAGCGCCTCGAAGGCGTCGGCCTGCTCGTTGGCCGCCAGGTGGGCGTGCAGGCCGCCGCTCGGCGCCGCCGCCACCACGGAGCGGCTGGGCGCCGCCGCCTCCGCCTCCTCAGCGGGCGGCGCCGCGCTGTCGGGGCCGCCGCCTGGCAGCAGGGTGCTACCCGCGGGCCTGGCCACTGCCAGCAGCAGCGCCAGCAGCAGGTGGAGGGGCCGCCGCAGCGGCCTTCTGGTCGGCAGCGCGCTGGCGGGCCGCCTCGCCTGCCGCTCGGCTCTCCACGGCTGCCGCCGGGGGGGGCCCAGCTCCTGGCGCAGCGCCCGCGGCGGGGGCGGCGGCGGCAGCAGGGGCGGCCGCATGTCCTGCGGGCTGCGGCGGGGCCGCCGCGCCCTGCTCGGGGGTGCCAGGGGCCACGGCTGCTGCAGGCCCCTCCTCGGTGCGCTTGCGCTTCTTGGCCACCTCCTCCTCGATCTGGCGCTTGATGCGCTGCTGGTGCTCCTGGCAGTTGCGCTCGAACGTAGCCTGCGCGCCCTGCATGATCTGGAGCCCCTCATCGCAGAGGCGCCTGAGGGTGGCCTGCGCCTCCTCCTCCAGCTCCGCGAAGGTGTCGAACGACTCCGCGTCGAAGTTGAAGGTGAGCTGCCTCGCGCCGTCGGGCTGGGCGCCCACGACGCCAGCCGCCTGGGCACGCTGGCGCAGGAGGGCGTTCTCCTCCTCCTTGGCGTCCGCGAGGTTGACCGCAGCCTCGTCGCGCCAGCCGCGGCACTCAGCGAGGTGGTCCTCCGCCGCCACGAGCGCGTCCGCCGCCTCGTCGAGCTGGCGCTGGAGGTTGATCCGCTTCGCCGTGGCCGACTGCAGCCGCTGCTCGAGCGGCTTCGGCGCTGGGGCGACCGCGGGCGCGACGTAGCCCCGCGCGTCGCGGACCGCCTCCTGCAGCCTGGCCGCGATGGCGGGGCCCCCACAGGCGAGGAGCGCGTCGAGCTCGCTCTCGGGCGGGGTCGACCAGGGGGCCTTCGGGAAGGCGCCTCCGCCACGGCCGCCCGCGCCACCGCCGCCGCCGCCTCGGGAGGCTGCACCGCGGCCCTTGCCGCCCTTGCCGCCCTTGGCGCCATCCTTCGGCGGGCCTCCGCCGCCGCCACCACGATGTGCGAGTTGGGAGCCGCCGCCGCCGCCGCCGTCCGCCCAGACCCCGCCACGGGGCGAAGGCTTCGCGGGCGCCAGCTCCAGCCCGATCCCGCACAGCCAGCACTTCGCGTTCTTGCGGAAGTTCCAGCGGTAGCGGCAGCCCGTGCACACGACGAAGCCAGGCTCGGCCTTGGGCCCCATCGCTGGGACGGGCGGGCGCGCTGCTCAGCCGCGGGCGTGCAGCAGGCAGGGGCCGACGGGGGCGGACCCGCCGACCCTGAAGAAGTCGTGACCCGAAGGTCCTGGAGGGTGCTGCACAGGCAGCTCTCACTTGTTGGAAAGGAAGGTGGCCTCAAAGCGGAACCTCCCTCGCGCTCAGAAGTCGCCCCTGAAGACTCGCGGTCGTCGGGACGGTTCATTGCCTTGAGCCAAAATCGCTACGGACTACGGTGGAGGTTTTGAATAAGGACACCTTCGATAAGGAACCCAGGGTCTCGCGACCGATGGGCGGCCAAACGTGGATCACTCACCTCGCCTTGAAACAGGAAGGAATGCGCCAGGGTCTGGGCCCCAGGAAGACGTTCCTAATCCAATGCCGCCGCCGTACTCGGAGCTACCACAATGAACGCTCAATAAGGAACGAAGGTGCCTTTCTGACCACGGCGGGCCTCGGCCACAAACAAGTTCCCCGTCCCGCTCGGTCTAAGGAACGGACCGAAAACCACTGCCCCCTCCTGCGCGCGAGGTGGCCCTTCTGCCATCGTTCTGACCGGATTTTGATTTTTCCCCAAACAGCTTGCTGAACGGGGTGCTGTTGTGGTAGAAACTAACTCCGGCCGAGGGAACGCGGAGCAGAGACATCCTCACACAATTTGTATGGTTTTGGCCGTTTCGTCTGAGACATCCTCACAACTCTCGTTTCTGAGTTGGCCGGGATTGGCCGTTTCGCCTGAGACATCCTCGAAAAGTTGCGCTCCGGGACGCCGCGCGAGAGGTGGTCCGGGCCGTTTCGCCTGAGACATCCTCAAAAAGTTGCGCTTCGGGACGCCGCGCGAGAGGTGGTCCGGGCCGTTTCGCTTGAGACATCCTCGAAACTCTGAGCCCCGAGGTGCCGTGCGCAAGGTGGTCCGGGCCGTTTCGCTTGAGACATCCTCGAAAAGTTGCGCTCCGGGACGCCGCGCGAGAGGTGATCCGGGCCGTTTCGCTTGAGACATCCTCAAAAAGTTGCGCTCCGGGACGCCGCGCGAGAGGTGGTCCGGGCCGTTTCGCTTGAGACATCCTCGAAACTCTGAGCCCCGAGGTGCTGTGCGAGAAGTGGTCCGGGCCGTTTCGCCTGAGACATCCTCGAAACTCTGAGCTCTGCGATGCCTTGCGCGAGGTGGTCCGGCCCATTTCGCCTGAGACATCCTCGAAACTCTGACTTCTGAGATGCCGCGCGAGAGGTGGTCCGGCCCGTTTCGCCTGAGACATCCTCGAACTTCTGAGCTCTGAGATGCCCTGCGCGAGGTGGTCCGGCCCGTCTCGCCTGAGACATCCTTGCAACTCTGAGCTCTGAGATGCCGTGCGCAAGGTGGTCCGGCCTGTTTCGCACAAGACATTCTCGCAACTCTGAGCTCTCAGATGCTGCGCGAGAGGTGGTCCAGCCTGGGCGCCCAGAAGACCACATGTGACATATCCTCCATGGGACCCTGCGAGCCTCAGGAGGCCCCAGAGAGGTCCAGGAGGCCGCAGGACGCCCAGGACAGGCCCCAGGGGCCCCCAGGAGATTCCCAGGAGGCTCCCAGGAGGCCCCAGGAGGCCCTCTATCAGAACGTGTCAAGTTAATACACATCCGGTGTCGATTCGTTGATTTTTCCTGCTCTTGTGCCCCCCCTCCATTTTGAGGGGCCCAAGCGGCCACAGGTTAGATATCCCCCCTGGGAGCCCCAAGAGGCTTCAGGAAACCTCAGGTGGAGTTCAGGAGGCCACAGGAGGCCCAGGAGGAAGCTCCAGGAGGTCCCCAGGAGGCCCCAGGAGGCACCAGGAGGCCGCAGGACGCCCAGGACAGGCCCCAGGGGTCCCAGGAGGCACCAGGCCGCAGGATTCCCAGGAGGCTCCCAGGAGGCCCCAGGAGGCTGCCTATCAGAACGTGTCAAGTTAATACACATCCGGTGTCGATTCGTTGATTTTTCCTGCTCTTGTGCCCCCCCCCTCCATTTGGAGAGGCCCAAATGGCCACAGGTTAGATATCCCGGCTGGGAGCCCCAAGAGGCTTCAGGAAGCCCCAGGTGGGGTCCAGGAGGCCACAGGAGGCCCAGGAGGAAGCCCCAGGAGGTCACCAGGAGGTCCCAGGAGGCCCGAGGAGGCCCCCGCAACTCGGAGCTCTGAGACGCCGCGCTCGAGGTGGTCCGGCCCGTTTCGCCTGAGACTTCCTCGCACCACGTTTCGCCAGAGACACCGGCCCGTCTTGCCTGAGACATCCTTGCAACTCTGAGCTCTGAGATGCCGTGCGCAAGGTGGTCCGGCCCGTTTCGCACAAGACATTCTCGCAACTCTGAGCTCCCAGATGCCGCGCAAGAGGTGGTCCAGCCTGGAGCCCAGAAGACCACATGTTACATATCCCCCCTGGGACCCTGGGAGCCCCAGGAGGACCCAGAGAGCTTCAGGAAGCCGCAGGACGCCCAGGACAGGCCCCAGGGGCCCCCAGGAGATTCCCAGGAGGCTCCCAGGAGGCCCCAGGAGGCCCCCTATCAGAACGTGTCAAGTTAATACAAATCCGGTGTCGATTCGTTGATTTTTCCTGCTCTTGTGGCCCCCCCCATTTGGGGGGGCCCCGACGGCCACATGTTAGATATCCCCCTGGGGTCCCCAAGAGGCTTCAGGAAGCCCCAGGTGGGGTCCAGGAGGCCACAGGAGGCCCAGGAGGAAGCCCCAGGAGGTCACCAGGAGGTCCCATGAGGCCCACGCAACTCGGAGCTCTGAGACGCTGCACTCGAGGTGGTCCGGCCCGTTTCGCCTGAGACTTCCTCGCAGCACGTTTCGCCTGAGACATCGTCGCAACTCTGGGGTCCGAAATGCCGCGCGCGAGGTGGTCCAGCCCGTTACGCTGGAGACATCCTCGCAACTCTGGGCTCCGAGATGCCCTGCGCGAGGTGGTCCGGCCCATCTCGCCTGAGACATCTTCGCAACTCTGAGCTTTGAGATGCCGTGCGCAAGGTGGTCCGGCCCGCTTCGCACAAGACATTCTCACAACTCTGAGCTCTCAGATGCTGCGCAAGAGGTGGTCCAGCCTGGAGCCCAGAAGACCACATGTTACATATCCCCCCTGGGACCCTGGGAGCCCCAGGAGGCCCCAGAGAGCTTCAGGAGGCCGCAGGACGCCCAGGACAGGCCCCAGGGGTCCGCAGGAGATTCCCAGGAGGCTCCCAGGAGGCCCCAGGAGGCCCCCTATCAGAACGTGTCAAGTTAATACAAATCCGGTGTCGATTCGTTGATTTTTCCTGCTCTTGTGGCCCCCCCATTTTGGGGGGCCCCGACGGCCACATGTTAGATAGCCCCCCCTTGGAGCCCCAAGAGGCTTCAGGAAGCCCCAGGTGGGGTCCAGGAGGCCACAGGAGGCCGAGGAGGAAGCCCCAGGAAGTTACCAGGAGGCCCCAGGAGGTCACCAGGAGGCCCACGCAACTCGGAGCTCTGAGGCGCCGCGCTCGAGATGGTCCGGCCCGTTTCGCCTGAGACTTCCTCGCAGCACGTTTCGCCCGAGACATCGTCGCAACTCTGGGGTCCGAAATGCCGCGCGCGAGGTGGTCCAGCCCGTTACGCTGGAGACATCCTCGCAACTCTGGGCTCCGAGATGCCGTTCGGGATGAAGAGGAGGTGGAGGAGGAGGAGGAGGAGGAGGAGGGCACGAAGCTCGGCGGGCCGGTTGGGCTTCAACCACGCCTAAGCCTGCATGCGATGGAGCGCGGCCAACCTCACGGAGGCCCGCTGGTCGATGCCCACGGCCAGCCCCACGTCCATCCTGTACTTCTGGATGTGGTAGCACTGGCACATGAGGCCGATGGTGAAGATGCAGTCCACGTGGGACCGCTTCGTGTGGTACAGCTCGTCGCCGAGCCCGAGGAGCTCCAGGCCACTGCCGATGGCGTCGGCGCCCCCATCGCCCGCGGCCATCGCCCGCAGGGTCGGGCAGAGAACGTAGTGCTCCAGCGCGTCCTCACCGTCGCAGCCGAAGATGCACTGGCGAGCGTCGATGACGGCGCTCATGCGACGCGAGGTGGTCCAGCCATTGACCGCCGTGCGCAGCCACGACCACATCCAAGCTGGGCGGACCTCCGTCAGCTTGCAGCGCAGCGGAGGCCATCTCTCACGCAGGACGGGCAGCGGGCAGTCGATCCCCCACCTGCGGAGCCGGCGGTGGATGATGGCGACGAGGTCCTCAGGGTACAGCATGCCACGGAGCGCTGCAGCAGCCACGGCTTGGCGCTTGGGCTTCCTGGCAGGGGTGGCAGCGGCCGCGTTCTTCGTCTCCAGGAGCATCGCCGTCTTCGCCTTCAAGATGCACCTGCGCGGGATCGGGATCGAGAGCGAGTCCAGCGTCGGCCTGGGGATGTCGAGCATGTCGAAGGAGTCCGAGACCATGGCGTAGTTCTGCACGATCGCCCTTCTCGTACGCCACCACGGTGGTGACCAATTGCCCTTGATCACATCGGTCAGTGGTACGTGTTCCACTGCAGCTTCATGTAGGTGGCGGAGGTGCACCTCCCAGCCCCTCACCGTGTTCTCCGCAGAACGCATCATCGCGGCGATCGTGTACGGGAAGAGGCCAATCGGCGCCGGCGAGCCACACCACGCGCTCATCGAGAGGATGTCCGCCTTGCGCATGGAAGACGGTGGCAGTCGCAGCAGGCGGTGCAGGGAGGTGAATTCGACCTTCCAGATGGCGGGCACGATGAAGTAGAACTGAGCCAGGTACGAGAGGCACGGCAGCGCGTTGATGTTGTATGCACGGGCAGCAAGGCTGGTGGCCATGCCCGTGCGCGCCAGCTCCCAGCAACGGGACCACCACTTCCCCGCCGCGGCCTTCCAGATGCCAAAGTCCGTGACGCCAGGGCCCAGGTAGGTCCCGAGGTACTTGGCCGATGAGTCGATGCGGAAGCCACTCCAGCGTGGGACCGCCCCCGCAAGGAATGACTTGACGTTTTGCAATGTGTTGTCCGTGACCT